CGTTGATGATATCAGAACTGATCCTCAAGTTGTAGGCTTTGATTAATATTTCCCCTTTACATCCCCAAATAACATGACATTCATTTTGAATGTGTTCATGTATATCCCTAAGTGCCAAAAGTTAATTCAGATAATTAGACCCTAAGAGAGTCTGACTCGGGGGAGATAGAAGTATTATTTCACAGGTAATATAAATTCAAGCAAGTGTCTACTCTCAGAGCCAAGCAGTTGGAAGGTTGAACAATCAGCAAAATGCTTCCTCTTTTATTCACTGATGTATCCCCAGGGCCGAGAACAGTTCTTGATACTTAAGTAGACGCTTAATAAATATTTGTTGAATGAATGAACCTTCATTCATTGCAGGTGTCATATTCCATAGAACTTGAATAAAAGTTAAGACAGTGAGCTAAACTTTTTTCTCAGTTATTTATATATTGTCTATATTATGTAGGATTGTATTAGGTTGCAGATAGTAGAAAAACTGTCCAACAGTTGAAACGTTTAAAAACGTAGAGAATGTTTTTAAAAAGTGTTTGAGAAGAAGTTTCAGGGTGGATGTGGTGGATTGGGTTCAGTGGGTTACTGATGTCAGGACAGGAATCATCGTGATTTTTTTGGCCTTACTTTTAAGCTTATTGGCTCATGGTTGCAAGAAGGCTGATGCATCTCCAAGCATCACATCCAGTTCAGAACAAGAAGAAGGGAAAGAGAAGAGCCAAGAGTCTTGTCAGTTCCATTATTCCTTCAGCTAAGATAACAAGACTTTCCTAGAAACTGGCAAGCAGATTTCTGTTTATATCTCATTGGCCAGACCTATGTAACAAAGCCACCAGATTCAGTAGGGGCTAAGGTAGCAGAAACATGATTATCATTATTGGCTAAGACCAGTTATGACCCATTGTCTGGTGCTGGGCGCATTGCCATTCCAAACAAGTGAAATTCTGATAACAAGGAAGGAGAAAAGATGTGAGTAATTAATAGGCATAAAACAGCATCTGCCAGAATCTCACAGAAAAGTGAAAGCACTTTTATTTTGTTTTATTTTACTTCATTTTCTTTTGCTTTTTACACTTTGCAAAAGAAGAAATAGCCAACTACTGAAGTTATAGTTTGACCAAAAATAGATTTTGGGCACCAGGATAACTAGGCAAAAATGATTGCTATTAGATCATCAATCTTATATGCTGTTAAGATATATAACTCACTGTATTTTAATAGACTGACTTAAAAAATACTTTCCTGCTATCATGAATGCTGCTAGGAATTTTGAGATGGATAACTAAAGCTGGGTACTAAACTGATTATCTTCACCCACCTAAAATTATTAGGCACAGTATTTGTTCGTACTTCTGTCTGTGTTGCTTTATATTTTGACTAGTTTTTGGTGAAAAATCGTTATTCAAAGATTTCTTGTGTATATATTTTTTTCTATTTTAGATACCAGGAATCATTATGTAGGGTTTACATCAGAATTAAATTTTAACTAAGCTGCAAGACTGCCATGAGGATAAGGATTCAAGTTACCAGCAAAAATGTGGTACTTTTAAAATGAAATACTTCTCATTTTACAAAAAGGGCTATCGGTCACCCAGCTTGCTCGTTTTTGGAAATGCCATCTCCTTAAAATACAGGACTGTGAATTTGTGCAAGTTTCTGTCAGTTTTAGTGCACGTTCAGATCTGACGATCATTTATCCTACCCCGAAGCTGGAAAGCTAATGATTACATAGATTGTTTTACAGTTTGGTATATTTCAGTCAAGCATTAGGGGTAATTAGGGACTGGGGTAAGGATTCATTCAAAACAAAGAATTAGCTTTGCGTACATTTTCCGTTCTGTTTTTATGTTTTTTTTTTTTTTTTGACAAATAAGGGCAAAGTATATTTGGACAAATGTATGCCCTGTTTTGCCCCAATTAACATGCTTAAAGCATAATGAATAACAATAAAAAATTAAGAAAAGAGGATTCATCATTACTTTGTTGCTTACCCTTTTGATTTCTGGAATCTTGCAACTTGAATCTTGTTGGAAATTAGATACTAAACTGTGATTTCCCCAGGAAAAACTAATATCAGCTCTGTTTAGATTAGTATATCTGAAGATTTTATCTTATATACAGTACTGTTAGAATGTTATGATAGATGCTGGCTTCTGTAACATTCTATGCACAATCCATTGATTTAATAAAACTCATTGGTATATAAGAGTTAAGAATTTCAAAGGAGTGTACCTTTGTATTCAGCAAGTCCAACATTGGGGCAAGTGTGATATAGAAGCAAGAGAAAGAGCTTTGGAGTTAGATGGACTTGGATTTAGATTCCCGCTGTGTGCTTATTAGCTCCAGGACCTTGGACCAGTGCCCTAGTGAGCTTTTCTCAACATCAATTTGCTTATCTGTAAAATGGGGAAAACAACATACCAAAGGATTATTGTTAGGATTAAGTGATATAATGTATATTAAGTACAGATGCATATAATTTTATTAGTTTTAACCACTGATATTACATACATGAGAACTGAGGCCTTTAAGATAAAATCAGTTCCACAAGCTCACATTGTAGCAAACCAGAACCACAGGACAAATGAGTATTCTCTGTGCAGTGAACCATTCTTAAAGTGAATTGTGAATAAGCACATTTATTTCAAGTGTTGAGGATTTACACTATTTTGCAAGGAATAGTTTCATGTATTATCTATGTACATTGTGGTGTGGAACTGAGCAGGTATTAAATGAGTATGTTCTGTGATGTGACGATTTTCAAGCCTGTTATTTCATCTAATGTTGACTAATCAATCTGTAAAATTCGACAAGTTTGGTTACCACACCTAAGAAGTTAGCCCCTGAAAACCATGTGGTTTTGCTCTTTTCATGTCATGTATCCTCTGAATATAGCAGACTGCTCGTTAGTCATAATTTAGCTGTCAGTGGATTTCAATGTTACCTTTGCCTAAACACTTTGTGTGAACTAAGTTGTGGATACCAGCTCTGAATTCCTCTTTGCCATCTCCCCGAGTTCACAATTTTAGAGTATATTAACAATTCAAAATCTTTACTATACATTTCTGATTGATTTTTGCCTCCTGCATTGTCATATGCTTCATGGTATAAATATTCTATTGCTTAGTTTTCAAAGAGCAGTGTCTAAAACGTCTTCATTCATGATGATGAAGAATATTTTGAAACAAAATGAAAAGGAAACAAAAAAAAGCAAAATGAGCAAAGATGAAAGTATTTTGCAACAAACAGGCAATGGTTGTTCTTCATAGTCAAAAATCAAGCATAATATATTAAGAGAGAAAGGAACAACAAAAATCATCTATCTTAGATATCATTTCAAAGATAAATAATCTGAGAATTTAAGTGACTCAGATGGGAATATTGGAATTCTGTAAGTAGAATTTGGGAAGTATCAAGACATGATGCAAGGAGAGCAGACTCGAATAAGAGAGACTGGAGTTTGCCTTCAAATTCTGCCACTTAGCAGTTGTATCAGTTAGGATGTGTTCCTCTACAAATAACAGCAAATCATATCCCTGCTGGATTAAGCAGCAAAATTGATTTTTTTCCCACCTAACAGAAAGTCCTAAGAGAGGCAAGTTTCAAATTTAGATGGATTAGCAACTCTATGATATAATTTGGAACCAGATACTTCCCATCCCTTCACTCTGCCAACCTTAATCATGAGGCTTTGCCCTCCTGCTGATGCTACTTATTTTCTCTAGATGGCTGCATGAGTTCCAGGAAATACTCCCCTACCCAGCAACTTCCAAGGCAGCCAGGGAGTTTTCTTTTCTAATGTTTTTTTCTCAAAAACTCCTTTCCCTTGCAGATCACCTTCACAGCTCATTGGACAGAACTGAATCAATAGTAAGACCACATAATTGGAACTGAAATAAATTCAGTATTGCTAAAATGTGGAAAGAGAAGGAAAGAAAAGCCTGAATGAAACTGGAGGAGAAAATAGAGACCAATTCTGCAGGGATTATATTAGAAGCAATAAGACACAACTCAAGGTTTGAAGTAGGGGAGTGACATGATCATATTGGTGGCTTAGAAAGATCTTTCTGGATGCACTATTTTAAAGAAATTGTCAGAAATCATGCCTCTCTACTGAACAACCACTTAGGAGATTTTTCAAGTGAAAAATTCTGGCAAGGATTTGGCTGGACTGGTTATGTAGTAGAATGAAACAGAGCAGGCAGTGCAGAGAGTTATATACAGAATACAGTTAGAATCAGTGGGATTTGGTCACTGGTTCAATGCGGGGATAAAAGTGAAGGAAGTCGAAGGTGACTCAAATTTCTGGATAGAGCAACTAGGTGTATGGCATTGCATTCACTGAAATAGGAACATGGGAAGAGGATTTTTTTTCTTGGACAGGGAAGATACTTTGTTCATTTTGGGACAGGCTGAATTTGGGATGACTACATGTCATAAATGTGTTAATAACCAGCATGCAGTTTTATAAATCGATAGGAATTTCAGGAGTGAAAAATGGACAAGATATATGGATTTGGGGGACATTAACATTTACATTATAACTAAAGACTTGGAATTTCATAAGCTCCTCTACAGGGATCCTTATCTAGGGATATATGCTAATATCGCCTTTTAAACCAACCAACCAACCAACCAACCAACCAAGAATAAATATATTAGCCATTCTCCATCCCAAATAGTCGATTCAGTACATATGGACTGGCACCAAGACATTTGTTCTTTCAAAAAGTTTCTTTTTTTATTGTGATGTTAAGTCCTAGTTAAGAACCATTGATGTAGAGTGAGAAATGAAGACAGTACAAAAATAAAGTATTGATCAAAGCCAAGGTTTTAAGGGTTGGTACAGGAAGAATAGTTTATAATGGAAACAAGTAGACAGAGAGGTAGAAGAAAACCACAGAAATATGTTGTCATTGAAAATAAAAGATGAAAGTGTTTGTCCATGGGGCTGGTGGCTAAACGCTGCCAAAAGATAAGGCAAATTAGGAACTCAGAGCTACATGATGATCACTAGCGAATTTGGTAGCAGAAGTTTTGGTAGAATGGTGGGTGTGAAGCCAGATTGCAATGGGTTAGGTAAGGAGTGAGGAGTATCTACGGAAAGAGATTGGGGTGTTGACAACTCATTCAATAATTTGAGTTTAGAGGAGGTCAGAGAAGAGGGCATTAGCTGGAAGAGAGTGTTAGGTTTATTTTTAAATAATTTTTTACTAACATCTTACAAAATACTTTGTGGTTAATGTGTGAAAGAACTGATTTCCCAAAGATAGTAAATTTGTCAGGTAATGTTGATGGCCCATTTGAAGCCACTCTTAATTTATAATGGAACCAATCTGTTTGGTTGTGTTTTTTCTCAAGCAGTGTTCAGCAGCCATGCTTCATGTACAAATAAAGTAGATCCGTTAATGATTAGGGTTTAGTTCATGGCCTTTGGATGTCCAGCGAGAGAGGTGGCTGTAATCAAGGTATCTAAGGTCCAGGCTCTAAGTGAAGGACTTGGTTGTGGGACGCCATAGGCAGGGCTCATGTTCTGTCATGTAGGCCTCTGATATTGCTTCCTGTTTTCTTCCTTGATTTCCCTGCTGGGGCTCTGAATGGAACCACAGACTGTCGGTGTTCTGTTGAACCCATAGGTTTGTTGAGATGACTAAATGGAAGAACATATATAAGTTGCCTAGTAGAGTGCCTGACATATAGTAACCACTGAATAAGTTCCTTTCCCCATATTTTTTCTTCTTTTTTCTAAAAAAGGATGTGCACAAACGTTGCTCAGAATTGGAAAATAAATGAATGCTCTCCCATTTATTGTCTGTGGAAATACAGTTGGTTATAGATTCTTGCCTTCAAGGAAAGTGATGTCAGAAATCTATATAACCCCCTAAACCTATAGCATAATTTTTACCAAATTGATTAATTGAGTTTTCCAATAGGAAACACATGTCCTCTTTCCTTGCACTCACTTTGTCAACTGTTCTTTGCTCCCTACAGCCATTGTCAAATTATACAATTTAGCCTGGAAGCAAGAATTCACATCTGTGCTGAATGGGACCATGGAGAGAGGCTGGACAGCTGTATATCTGGGGTTTGTTCCCACAGATTAGCTAAATGTGTGCTGTAATTGAATCCAGTAGCTTTTCTGATATTGTTAAATGGAAATCAATAGCCAAGCATCCATCAAAATTCTACTGTATGCAAAGGGACTTTGATTCAATGCCTTTAGAGAAAGAGAATTCCATCCTCTGCTACTAATCCAAATTATTCTGTCTTCATACTGTGGTGGAGGTCCAGCTGCCATTATAGTTGTGTTTGTTTGTTAATGGGAAGATCATGGGAAAAACAGAAACAGTGTGAGAATAAGAATATGCCTTGGGCTCTCTACTTTTTCCTTCATGTCATCAAGGATCACACATTCTCTCAAGACTTGCCCACTGCTGGTGGTGGAATGGAGGGTCTTTGAGCTGTCTTTTGACTCTTCAAAGTCTCAGAACACATTCATCCCAACACATATTTTTCCTGGAGAATCCAATAAAATTTTTCTGCTTTTAAAAATTTACCAGATGTCCATGTGGAGAACCACCACTTGCTAACTAATATTAGCAAGATGTTAAGGAGGAAACAATGGAGTCAAAGTGATATACCTCAAGTTATGAATATTTGAAAGTTCTAATCATTGGTTAACTCAAATTAATCTTTAATTGTTAGAATATGTAAAGTTGAGGATTTAGGAGTCTTCTTATGCATATTCCATTTTATTCATTCTGTCCTCTCCTTGCGCCCCTTGAATTCCAACAAAAACAATGAGTTAGCAACCCTCTGGCTTCCTAAAAATAAATTCTTTAAAAGCTTTTCTCTGTTTGTTCAAGAAAGAATTAAAATTATTAGTGTGTAGCATTAAAATTAAAACATATTTAAGATTAGTTTGAATTAGTTTCTGTTGTAATCTGTTATTTGGTTGGGCAGACAGTCAACTGATTTTTACTTATTAAAAGTTTCCCATATCAATCTTATTTTTCCCTATACTAACTTCAGGAATTTGCAGTAGACTGCATACTCATTGACCCCTGTAGACTTATTTCTCTTGGAGAATCAGTCTTCTTAATTACTGATTAGAATATCAACCAATATGCCCATCTTCACTGTAATTATACAATGGCTGAGGGAAAAATGACCTTGAAGGATATCTCTCAGTTTAATGGTGTGACTTTATTTTAAAATACAAATAACAGAATAAAAACATTTTACAAAAAAATTCTGACATCTAATTAATGTCTTCCAGAGTAACTGTGGTATCAAACATTTCCTCTAATTATATTCATTAGTGACTTCTCCCAGACAAGTTTTAATTAAGTTGTACAATGAAGATCAATATTCATTGTGTATTCATTGCAATTTACAACAAGCATATATACTGTTCAGAACAATTTAATTACTGTAATTGTAGCACAGAAGATACTTAGTGACTGTGTTCCATTATGCCAATCCCCCCCTTAATAAATTTGGTAATGAAGTCGGAAAATGAACTTCTGAAAATTCACATTTATATATACCCTATGAAAGCATTAATAATATCAGTGGCATAGTGCTTTTCCATACATGCCATCATGAATGTTGAGAAATTATTAGAGCATAAATAAGAACACCTATAATAAGAGTTATATTGGTTATGTGAAAAATAATTAAGGATGTTGGGTAATAAGAATACTCTATTTTTCCCCAAATAAGACTTCTAATTTGGTTACTTTTATTTCCTTAAATACAAGTAGTATTTTGATCCGTAAGGAAAGCCTCCAAATATGCTAACTTCTGTTAACAAAGATCATGCTACTGATGCACTGTACAAAGATTTGTGAAAGTAGAGATTTTGTAGTAGCCTCGTAGGTTTATACCGTTTCTCAACTTTGACACTAGTGAACTTTGAGCCAGGTAGTTCTTTCCTGGGGAGTGGGGGAAGTTTTGCTGTGCATTGAAGGATGTTTTGCTGTATATCTGGCTTCTTCCCATGGGATACCAGTAGCAAATACTGCCCCTACCCTCCATTTTTGACAATCAAAAATGTCTTCAGACATTACCAGATGTCCATATGGAGAACCACCAATGTCTGTTGCTTCAGACACACCCCTCTGATCTGCCCACTGACCAAATGATTCATTCATAAGACAAACAGCTATTTAGCTGTTCTGTGCACAGGCTAGGTTCATAGTCATGAGTCAAACATGTTCTTTTAAGGGAAAAATACAATTCTGTGTATTCAGGGTTTTGGACATAAGACTTAGGTACTAATAGAATATTCAATACCAATACCTTACGTAGGTTTAGGAAAGGGAGGATCAAATATGGCTTCCTGGAGAAGGCAGTTGCTGAAATTTGTTCTGTAGGACAAACGAAGAGTTAGCACATCAGAAAGGAAGAAGAGCATTTGAGAAAGCTAAAGCAGCATGTGCAAAACTTGAGGTATAAGAAAGCTCTCTCTTTCTCTATCTATATAGATCTATATAGAGATAGACATGGATATCTATATATAAATTATATATATAAACACATATCTATCTACACATAGAATTTTAATTATTTTCCCAGAGACATCAAATCCCAATTTTCTCTGCATTATATGAACAAAATTATAATATAGTAATCTGCAAGTAATTGCCTAAAACATCTAATTTTTCTTTTTTTCTCAATTCCCAATTTAGTAATGGTATATATAAATATCTTCTTTGCATTGTGAGTTTTACAAAATAATCTGTTTCTAAGAGGAAAGCAGTTTTTGACAGTAGTGGGAAGTGACTTGCATGTATTTCCTATAAACCTCCTAATCTATTTATCTGAAGAAAACTTTTTGATAAGATCATCATAAGAAAGATAATATACATTCCTATTGTGGTTATTTTCATGTGTTTAGTAATGTATTCCAATATTGAAAACTCCCAATAAATTGTATTTTGAGTTCATTTGTTTACTTTCACACACATATATATTTTTAAGCCAAAAAAGAGTAAAAATAGTAATTTAGACTGAAGTTACTTTAAGTGAAGGTAGCTAAATTTTAGAAAGACTTCTGGAATTCTGCTGGTAATAATGAATATTTCAAGATCCACATATTATTAAGAGGTCTACAAGGAATGCTGTGTTTCTCATGGCAGGCTAGTTATGAATTCCTAGAATTCCTATTCACATCAGTTTGCCACCACAGATTTAAGTTCAATTTGACTGCCGTCATCGGAGAAGGCCTTGAGTTTGCTGATTTGCTCTACTTTATCTAGTCTACACAGATATGCTGCTGCTCAATATCAAAGGTGAATCAAATGAATCAAGATGAATAAACATAACGATTTAGGTTCTGCACTCCCCTGGTATTTAGTCATGTCTAGACACAGGCCCAGTGTCCCAGAAAAACTAAAATGAGGACAAGGACATTTAAGTTTAATGTAACCTTATTCCCATGGAAACCAGAAAAGCCAACAATAGAGTAAAAAGAAGAGAATATGGATATAACTGAAAAATTAGATTTAGTGGAGTGACTGGAGGATTTGCAAGGTCAGTGGGTAGTGGGACAGATTTGATTTGTTTGTTTTTTTGTTTTTGCTGTTTTAAACAATAGTTTTTCAGTTAGGTCAATTTCCTCTAAAAAAATAATAATTCCACAAATTACTTATTTGATTATTACCTAAAGCCAATATGATGTGTGTAGGCTAAAGATGATGCAGACATTCTATAAGCATGCATTTTTATAGTTAAAGAACTGAGACCTTAATGAAGGAAATAGATAAGCAGGTTGAACAAACATATATATGTATATATATGTGGTATTGAATATATTCCTGTGTTTTCTAAAAATTTTAAGTTTTTGATTTATCTTTATATCACTAATATTATTATAGACAACTTAGTTGATAAGATATGTATGTTTGCATATGTTATATGAAATAAAATGATGGATAACAAGGGTTAAATGCACATAATTTCTATAATGTGTAGAAAATTTCTATTTCAACTGTGATCCTTATTTCCTTGGTCATAATAATTTTATTTTATATTCTCTTATCAAAGTATTATATTTCTCAGACTATCATCTGTTATTGCTGTAATACCCCAGGCTTATACTTACAGATAGAATCATCTTTTTAAAATTGCTGGTGTTTCAAGATATTGGCTCTTGAATGTGGTTTAAGGAAGCTCCGCTACCTCTGACGAGGAATAACCCAAGGTTTCCCTTTTGGGTCCACATGCCATGCTTATTCAATGTGGTTCACCTGCACAGTGGACCAGATAGACCCATTTGGGTTAGGCATAATAAGTTGGAAAGATATTGATTTGTGATCCTTTTCTAAAGCATTTTGACTACACAGCTCCCTTTAACCTAGTTTGATTTCAGGGGGACAGTAGGTGAACTTATTGAAATATAAAACCGTGTGTGTGCGAGTATGTGTGTGTACATACTCTTCCATGACTTCCTTTTAAAATGATCAAATTTAGACTTCCATCCTGGGAGTTTCCAAATATTTTAGGATATCCAGCCATAATTGAGATCTGCCTTTCAAAACTGTGGCTGATAGTTCTGTAAGAATCATATTTTAGGCTCTGGTTATATATAAGTGGTAGAAGACATCTTTGGGTATGCAGTGGACATAACTATAGCAACAACTCTGAGAGCTGCTACAATTTCCTTGGCTTGGTGAAGGGTGTTTAGATTTATTTCTTAATTAAACTTGCAATTTGGATTACAGATTTCGGTTACTCTCACAAAAAAATGTTACAAGCTTGGGAATAGTTTATTGCTGTTTAATGTAAATTATTGGTTAATTGCTTTATAACAGCTTTCCAGAAGAAAATACCCTACATTTAGCCACAACTTTATGGCTGCAGCTTAATTCTAAGACCTAGAGCCTTTAAAAAAGCAGCATGGTCCTTACAGTTTTTTGGACCTTTCATTTTTTTCTTTTCCTTATTATTAATTCTTTTCCTTGATTCTTGTTTAACAAAAACGCACTTCGGGTAATGATTTGTTTATGTATTTTTGCTGTAATTGTTCTCCAACTGTTTATTCAAAATCAGTGTCCCCTTGCATCTAAATAATGTTTTCTTTAAATTATAACTCTTGTACTCATCTTAGTGAATGCTTACTCTAATTTCAGTTATGTAAGCAATATGCACTCTTAATGACACTATGAAATAGTAATGCATTTTTATATATTCCACTCAGTTTTGTGTTCTTTCTCTTTCAGTGAATTTATTGGATTCACGTACTGTCATGGGGGACCTGGGATGGATTGCTTTTCCAAAAAATGGGGTAAGCCTGTATGAAATTTTCCCTCCAACTTAAGCTACCTAACTAGACATCACATTAAATGTCGTATATGATTGAAAATTCACTGGACATATTTGTTGTTAAGGGAGGATGGGTGTGTGTGGGGGGGGGCGAGGAGACCTCAAATTAGCTCTCACTGGGAGAAGGGGGCAAATAGGGAAGGGGTTTCAATGACTGAATAACAGATACATTATTTTCCTCTCTGAGCATTTCTCCATAAAGAAATGTGAAGTTTCCTTCAGCATTCAGGAGAGTTTCAGATTGAAGCAACCCACAAACTTGTAGAATTGGTTTATATATATAAAAAGAAAGAGTATTTGATTTGTTGCTGGTTTGCCATTATCCTGGTTATATTGAATAGGAAATAAAAGTTAACATGTGAATGACCAGTGTTGATTGAAACACTTGGGACTGATTTATTTTGTATTTCATTCACTACATTAGGGAATGAAAATATTATAAGAAATTCCTTTAAATTCCATTGAGATTAAAAGTTCCTCAGATTATCCAGTGAGTCATTATTCAATTCTTAAATTTTTCTTCACTGAAAATTTTCAGAAAAGGTGCTTGATTGGAAGATTTTTATAATCAACAATGGTTTTTATTAGTAAATTATTTTACTGGTGTACACTAAAAATAAAGTCGTTTGGGTGAAAATTAGGTAAGCCTTTTTTTAACAATATAAATATTAATGTATTTATAATACTAACAATCTTAATACATAGATTGCATTTAAAAGTGTTCCATTAGAGCAGGCCCTGTGGCTTAGAGGTTGGGTGCGTGCGCTCTGCTGCTGGCGGCCCCGGTTCGGATCCCGGGCGCGCACCGACGCACCGCTTCTCTGGCCATGCTGAGGCTGCGTCCCACATAAGCAACTAAAAGGATGTGCGGCTATGACATACAACTATCTACTGGGGCTTTGGGGGGGAAAAAAGTAAATAAAATTATTAAAAAAAAAAAAATAGTGTTCCATTACCTTTTGCTCAGTTAAAAACACATCCATGTTAAGATGGACAATGAAAGCATAGGTAAAATATTATGACATCAAATCATTATATTACACTGAAAATATTAACTGTAGTGCATGACTGTTACATTAAAAATAATTTAGACTTTGAGAGATTTTTATTATTTAATAACTTTAATATTATCTATTTTCTAATTTTTAAGCTAAAACTACCCAAATTCATTATAGATCCACCTTGTGACAAAGACAATATTTTCAATCCTCCATTTTAAGAAAAAAAATTTGCATACTTAAACTTTATACTGTAGTGTATATATGTAATTAATTTATAAGATTATGCACGCTAATAATATTTCATATGACTTTGAAGGTTAATTTCAGACTTTGAAGGTTAATTTCAGTTCAATTAAGTAATTGAATATTATAATAAATGTGGTTATAACAACCATATAGCCAAAACTTTGTATTTTTTTCCAATTGATGAGTACATACAGTATGTTAATCTTTCCTTTACTAAGAAAGTTATTATTATGAAATTAAAACAAGTATTAATTGTTCTAATTCATAATAATTTATATGCTAACATCCTAATCTCAATGTGCTTTCTCTTTTTTCATTAACTTGGTATTTCTTTTTGGTCATTAAAAATTATGGTCGCGTTTAGAGATATAATATAGATAAAGTAATACTAATAGACTGTTAAGATATTAGAACATAAAGACAAGCCAAATGAAAAATAAGTGTCCCACTCAGATATAGCCAGTGACAACATATGGCATATAGTCTCTTAGTCTGTCTCTCTTTTATCTTTCTTATGCTCCTCCTTCCTCATTTCTTTCTTTTTCCTCCTCCTACCTCACCCCCACGTTCTTTTCTTTCTTTCGTCTATCACCACCCCTATACAAGTAGATGGCTGGCTAACATCCATTTTTGAGAACTTATAAATATATTTTGCACTCTGCATTTTTTCCCATACCAACAATGATTTATTACATAAATATTTTAAATTGCCCTGTCTGAGAAGATGGCTGACATGTTGAGTTGAAATTAATGTTTTAAAAGCCTGAGAAAATATGTCATATTCTCTTTAAATTTGGTTTTTGTGTTTCTCCTGTTTCTATTCAGAAGTTATTCAGAAAAGGTTTGACAGAGTGTATCTGTGAGGGTAAATCTGATGTAGTTGTGCCCGCAACTGGAAATTTGGGGGGAAATTACTCAATTTTGTACATTATTTCTGTATAAAGCACTACTGATTCTTTTATAAAAACACAATCCCTTGGTATCAGGAATGATCTCTTTCCAGTCGTTCTAACAACTTCATGCTTTTTTTTTCCTTTCTAATTGTTAGTATAGTGTTGATTTTATTCAGTTTTTTAGATAAGTATTTTTTCAATATTCTTATAATTTTTTGAGTGATGTCTCTTTTGATAATGCCTGATGTTAATACTGAAGAAAAATAAATTAACTTAGAGAAACTTAGTGGGTGTGCACTTGTCCACATATGAGGAATATGTGCGGAATCCAGGTGTTATATTTTGTTATGTCACTCAAATGCAAAATGAAGGAAATTTTTAAATTATATTTTAAAGAAAATGAGCATTCAACATATAATTAATTTCTAATAAGAAGTATATATACTTTTAATATATTGTTAGTAGGCTGTGCCATTTATGATTAGATAAGCAATCTAATTCTAGGTGAAATATAGATCATCAGAGTGATGTCAGCAAAAATTGTGGAGTAATGGCCTCTGAAAATTTTCTCCTCCATAAAAGCCATGAGAAAACTGGCAAACATTGTCAGAATCAACTTTCTAGAACTATGGAAATTAACTAAACTCTTGGAGCAATCCAAAAATACTGAATCTTGTTAGAACGGCAAGCATTATGGCATTTTTGAGGCACCCTATGTCCTTTCCTGCCTTTCCAGCTATGAGTTAGCCTTGAAAAACCAAAAACCTGCCATCATGGTGAAAACCAGCAGTCTGGCAAGCATTGGTGGGGGCGGAGTGGGGTAGGAGATTCTTCAAAGACTTGATCCCAGAGAATTGTCATTATTTGACCTGTTAGCTCCCTGGAAGACTGCTCTTTTAAGGCTGTCTTGATTTGATCTGACTCAGAGCTCTCCCAGTCCGAAAGCCTTTATTATACTAACTAAAGAAGAATATTCTTTTTTCAGAACATTTTCCTGACCTTCAGGCCTTAGGAATGAATGTTTTATTTTATTTCTTAGTCCAATAAAGAAACACCAACCCAAATCTGCACCTAAGAATTGGGCAAGTATTTAGGAGAAACACTGTTATTCATCCCTTGTAGTCATGCACATGTTCCATACACTTCTTAGAAACAGTCATTGCACCTATAATACTTTTTCTAAGCTTATAAGCTCCTAGACTTCTTGTAACCATCTCTTATTTACCACTATACAGTGTTTCTAAAACTTGGCTCGGGTCCTGGTGTATAATAGAGCAATAAATATTTATTGGAAGGATAACATTTTGTTTTTTATTTATAAAATGGGGCATAAATTACTGAGATATAGTTCTGTATAAAGATGAAATAAGTGGGGCTGATGGTAGAGTGTGCCCAGTGTTGGTACTCAGTAAACATCCCTTCTTTGACCTTCTATTGCATTTCTATTGTCCTAATACTAAGAGATCCACCAGTCCATCAGGTTTTTTGTTTTTGTTTGTCTGTTTTTGCATATAAATGTATCTATATGAATTCATTGTCAGCACTTAAATATTGGGAGACTTTATGTAAAATCTGAATTTCCAGCTTCTTGCTTTAGCTGGAAGTTTCAGAAAGCTGGAGCTAACAGCCTTCCATGACCTCAACAGCCCAAAGCTGAGTAAAGGCTGATCTTTTAAGAGAGTAAGCAAATTCTCCTGTTTGACTCAATTTCCACCAGATACTCCACTCATTTAAGTTGCCAGTCTATCATGTTAACACTATTGTGGAGTCATGTTTTTAATATTGTACAAGCATCAGGATTTTCTTTTGTTTCAGGAGGAACTTTATTTTTGAAAAACTTCTCTGATGGTCACTTGCTCAGGTGGATTCTTCCTAGTTTTTATTTGAGTACTTCATCTTAGTTAGGACATATCATTTGAATTTGGGCTTCAGCATGTATGTGGCTTCAGCCAGAATGTATGAGTTAGACTGTGTGTGTGTGTGTGTGTGTGTGTGTGTGTGTGTGTGTGTGTCTGCCTTATGGTAGTAACTTGAACTCTCCTCTTTTTTATTCTGGGTATATCTAGAAGTACTATGTTACAGCAAAGTTTGCTTCCATGCAAATTTGCTGCATTTATTCAGCAGATATGTATTGGGCACTTAGCATGTGTCAGTTACTCTTCTAGGTACCAGGGTTACAACAGTGAAGAAAATAAACAAAAGTCCTGACCTCCTGGAGCGTGAGGTAGTGTTATCGTTTTGAGAATGAGTAATCAGAGTGTTAGAGCAATGTGGTAGATGAAATGCTTTCCAGTTCTTTCTTTTCTTTCTATATATGTACAAAAGTGGCAGAGCGGTGACAGCATTTGCTCAAGGTCATTCAAATAGTTTGTGACACACTGGGAAGAGCATGTTGTATCACTGTTTCTGATGTCTTGCTATGAAAAACTACTCTTTCATGTATATACATTCATTTAGTACTAACAATGACAATGCAAAAGAGATACTTATTAATCTTTTTATAGTTGAGGCAAATGAGGCTCAGTAATGGTAAGTGACTAGCCCAAGGTTATGCAGTCGGCAAGAGACTGAGTCCATTTCAAACCTAAGTCTTCTAGAGCACTGATTATTTAAACCAGGGGTGAAATCCTCCAAATAGTTAGGTCTGCAGAGACATGACTAGACTCTGGATGGTGCCCAGACTTCTAGTTTATATAAGGAACTGGTGCTGAAGAGGAAATTCACCTCAAAGAAAGTTTTAAATGAGCCAGAGTGGGTCACATTCTATTCATTGCTAGATCATCATAAGTATTCAAAAAATGTATAGCACATAGGTGCTCACA